GACATCTTGATTGTATCAGCGTCAAAGTTCTGGCTGTGATATTATATGGTGATTGGTCAAGACACTGCCACTGGAAGACGATGGTAAACAGTATATAGGATCTTTCCATACCAATTCTTACAACTACATATGAGTCTACAATTCTATCAAAATCAAAAGCTTGACTTAAACTTGCACAAATAAAATATCATATTCAAAGTTTTAGTTCATATTTGAATTCAAAACAAGACAATCTCAATGTGCCAAAAGAGAGGAGTACATAAAGCTGAGCTGAGTGAAAGCTGAAGCTGAATAGCATGGATGGACCAACAACTGGTATTCAGCTTAAGAATCAGGACTAAATTTGCCAGCAAGAACTGGAATTGAGGCGGGAGTTTATGATAGAGCTACAAACAGCAATCTTTTAATAAAGCCATAATTAAGAAATGCTGAGAATAAGAATTAAACAATGTCCTGATTATAAGTGTGTGTATGTATATGTTGTGTATGTGTGTATGTGTGTATATGTGTATATTTGTATAACTTGTATGTGTGAATATACATAATTTGCACAATGAACCAGGTATAAAGTCCAGAGGGTGGATGCTTAAACCAGGCCATTAGTATCCATAAACATCTGAATCCCAACCCTGTCTCATGGATGACTGTGAAGTCTGTATTTCCAGTGTGGAAATATCAATTGAAATACTAACAACCAACTCAGTTGGAATCAATCCTCTAGGACTCTGCTACCAGCAAACCCGAAACTAACATGCTAGGATTCACTCTTCCTAAGCATGAATTCAGAGTCTAACAGATTTTAAAAAAACACGGTTTCTCTGTCAAAGAACACAGGACAGGACAAATCCACTAAACTGTTTAAGAGAAATAAATTCTAATTTCAAGTTATGGAAGTTTTGAGGGATAAAGTGTTCTGAAAATGCTAGAGATGGGTCGACTAGGTCTGGAAACAGCCTCCAAGAGGTTGGGGACTACATCCATGCCAAAGCATAGTAAATGTACTTCCTAGAAACATCAGTTTGAAACCACCTGGGTCTCTTCCAGAAGAGAATGAATAATCTGAAATCTCAGACAGACACAAGAGAACACAGCCTCTAATGTCTCATTCAGTTGCCCACATCTCAATCAAAGAATATGCCAGGCATGAGCCCCGGAAATGAAAACGCAGATGTCCCGATCCACATGAAAGTGATGTCTTCCTAAGAAAGGCTTCCCAAATGCTAGATTTTCCCACAGGATGGTGGAAGACTGAGAGCCAGAAGATTCTAAGCCTGCCAACCTGTGCCTCTGAGAGTGGGATCATCCCTAGATGAAAAGGAAACCTGATGTACCACAGTCAGACTCCACGCATGTGATCAAGGGGTCAGACACCAGTCCATTCACTATCCTTTTTACGAGAACCACTCTAAATGAATATTGATAAATTTTGTGCACATTGACAAAGCCAGTTAAAAGGTATACTCACAGAAAGGAAAATCATTTAGCTTTTGGTGCCTTTTTATTACCACATGTGCTTGTCAAGTTACGTGTGAAAAGCTCCAAAATAATCCCAGTGAAGTGGTTTTGGCAAAAATCATTGAAAAATTTTTCTCCAAAATTTTTCTGTCATCTTGGCTAACACTGTGTCCTCCTGTACTTAGCATGAATCTGAAATCTGAATCCAGAAATGTCCACATGGTGATACTCACTTGGGTCTTTTGAAATTGAAAAGACCCTGATATTCCATTTATTCCCAAGTCTCGAATAATGTTACACAGCATGTAACTTCCCTTACAAAGCAAAAGATCAAAGTAGGGAGCAATTTAGCCACCCCTGGTGGCCTATTAAAATAGCATGGTGAGACCAGCTACTTTAAAGGAAAATTGGTTAATAGAGCTAATGAACATCCATTCTTGCTAATGCAGTGGTTTGTATCACCTATTGCACATTAGAATCACTTGGGAAACTTTAAAAAATACTGAATGCCTGGGCTCCACAATAAGTCCAATTAAATCAGAGCCTCTAGGGTATGGGGTGTGAGGGAATGGATGCATTTTTAAAGTTCTTAAGTGATCCTCCTGTCAAGCCAAGGTTAAAAACAACTGCTCTAGCCCAGTGCTTCTCAGACCTAGTAAGCATAAGGCTCCTAGAGAGCTTCTTAAACATGGGTTTCAAATAGGAAAATCTATAGAGACAAAAAGTAGCTTAGTGGTTGCCTTGGACCAGGGGGATGGAGAGCACTGGGAAATGACTGCTAAGAGCTACAGGTTTCTTTTCTGGGCTATTAAGAATGTTCTAAAATTTACTGCAATCATTGCAGAAATTTTCAATATACATTTTAATATATTAGAAGGCATCGAATTTTAATCTACTTAAGTGGATAAATTATATGGTTGTGAATTATGTCCTAACAAAGTTGCTGAAACAGAGAGAGAAAGAGAGGGAGAGAATTTTCTCCCCACTCCTAGAGATTCTGATGCCCTAGGTCCAGAGTGAGGCCCAAAATTTGTCTTTTTAATGAGTCTCCCTGCGATGCTAATCCTGTGGGTCCAAAGGACACACTGCTCTAGCCCGTGCAGAGGGTTTTTATGAGCATGATAATTACTGTACAATGGACCCTTGACTTATGAACTCGGTCATTTCCTGAGGGCTGGTTGTAACTAAGTCAATACAGCTGAGATCTGGATGTTTACCTGGGTACAACTTATAGATAACAAGAGGCAGACGAATGTTCTATTACCTTAATTAATCCAATTGTTCGTATGTCATGCTGCTTGTAACTTGAGGGCCCACTGTATATTTGAATAGTTAGTGAACAGACATACTTGCCCATATCTCTGTTCTCAGGAGAAGCATGGCCTTTGTGGTTTGTCATGCAAACAATCCAGTGTGCCCATCCTTCCAGATCAGGGACTCTTTCTTCTTTTCTCCTAGTCACGGAGGATCAGATAACATGTCCAGGATTATCTCATAGAAATAAGATTTGGAACAGCAAAGGAAAAAGGAGATGTGAAGCCTGAGTGAGCCCAAAAGATGAAGACTTCGGAGCTGGGACAGCTTCCCCTGTTCAACTACACAGTGCATGAGTCCTGGGGAAAAGAGAGCCTCATTTTTGGTTTTGTGATATTTAATATTTGAAAAATCTAGATTTACAGAAAAAGGTAAAATAAGATTTTTCATTTATCTTATGTTCATCCACAGTAGTCCTTCAGAAAACTTAAACTACTGTACAATGTTTTGCATGAGTTTCCTCACAATATTTCGCCAGAGCCAAATTATACAGATACAAGATAAACAGAGTCCTAAATTATGAAGAACAAAAATTCTCAAGAAAATAGCAGCAACAGTGGTAGGACAGGTGCCTTCTGTAAGAATGCCAGTGTTGCCAGGGGTTTATTTGGCAAACCTCAGACTCCAGAAGAGTGGTCATGTTCAGCACTCTGGACCCTGCCTAGGAAGTCACCCTACTCAAGCATATACTGTGGGTGCTGGTCTGCCTCTTGCTCAAGTCTGAGAAAAACTTTTAACAACTGAACCCCATTTCCCAAGTACTGCGTGCCTTATAGCTACAGATGGAGCTGTCATTGCAGCTGCTACAATAAATAGAAACAAAGCAACCAAAGTTCTTTTAAGAACAACTTTAAATTATAAAATATAAGCATGATCACACTTTGAGATATGGTATATAACGCAAAGACTCAGACTCTAACTTGTACAGTCAAATTATTCAGGATCTCCCAGTTTCCCTGACTGAAAAAAAAAATCTGAGGGTGGAGGGGTGGGGACAATGTACACAAATCACATCATAAACTACATATTCCAGTATGTGGTATGATAGAAACATGAAAAAGAACAATAATAACAGCTAGCATTCATTGGATGTCATTATTTACCAAAGGTTCTTACAACATGCATACACATAGATTTATTCATTTAATCCTCACAATACTCTATTACAGGTGTCAGCAAACTTTCCTGACAAATTTTTTTCTGATTTCAAGGATTCATGGTTCCCAAGCCAACTACGTAGCTCTGCTGATGTGTGGGAGAAGTTCAAGCCTGGCTGGGCCAGGTGCGCCGCACTCCTGTCTTCTGAGCAAACTCAAAGACCTCCCTGAGGCTGAGCTAACTTGCCTAAGTGTGTAGAGGCTGGGTCTAACAGGCTGTACCGCAGCCCCTAGTCGGTGACTCCTCCACCTCGCCCAAGAAAAATCACCCCACCATATGTCTAGCCAATAAGATATCACCCAATGTTCTGCACTACTGCATAACTTATAAGAAAGTGCTATGTAATTAAATGCTCCTTCCCCATGGTTGTCTATATAAGCCTGTGCATTTCCTAAATAAAGTGGAAGTGTTTCAGGATCCTCCCCGGTGTCTGCCTGGTGATTCCAAACCCTACCTTCCCAGTCCGAGTTCCCAAACCGAACTCCACAGACCAAGCAGCAGACAACAACACTAATGTGGTTTGATAACAGACATAAATGACTGGTAAATGCATGAGTGTATCCATGTTTCAATAAAAATTCAGCTATGAAAGCCTTAGGTGGGCCAGTCATGGCTCTGAGACCAGTTTTATCACTGTCCTCACTTTACAGATGAGAAAACAAAAGCACAGAGGAATTGAGTGACAACCCAAGGTCCCACGTAACTTCACATTACCAAGTTCATAACCCTCCAACATCTCATATTAACTGCTGAACTCACTATCAGTATAGGTAACACTCTCACTCAGTACAAATTCAGGTTTTCCTAATTCAAAAGGTACCAATGAGCAGTCAGTGAACAGTACCTCAGGCCTACCCCAAAGATCCAACTCAGTTTCTCCCTCCTCTCTCTCTCTCCCATGTTCTTGGCTTGAGTTCTCTTTCCTCCCATGAACCCTTAGTGCCCTTATTCTCTGAACTTCCAAATAGATCACCTTCTATTTATTGTATGCTTTTTCCCAACCTCTTTGGAGGGCACCATTCTCAAGGTTGGATGGGGCTTTGAACCTGCTGGAAAAGGGTCCAGAATGAGACTCAAAGGGCCCGGAGCAGAGGAAGAAAGTGATCAGCCCAAGCACTCACCAGTCCGTGGCAGGCACTGAGTACTGCAGTTCCGATGGCAGCACTGTACTGCTGAACTGTGCCCCTGAGATGGCAAGGAGAGCCCGAGGAAGCCACCATGTTAACACGGGAAAGGTTCCCATATCGCTTCTCCACGATATAGCTGTTGGAAAGGAATCCTCGATTGACTGTCAGGTTAAAAAACAGGTCCTTCTCTTCGTGTGAAATTCTGTAGTATACCCTGTTCTCTGAGACATCCAAACCTCTTTTCTTCCTGATACTGGTGACAGGATGGTTCAAGCCATAGGACAGGAAATGCCCACTAGAATCTACTCGGACAGGAGCCACCACATGATATTCTGGCAGGGCCTTCATAAAATGCTCTGAAAGAAAAGAAGACACAAAGTAAGACTGAGAGACTTGGGATGAGTCTATAGCAAAGCAAACACACTTCCACTTGGAACTTAGATTCTAGCTCGCAGATGTCAAAACACACTGTTGACTTGAAGCTCAGAGATCCTTTCTACACTACAAGTCCTGTCAACATTAAAGATCTTGAGCAACTCAAAATCACACGGCATTTCTTCCTCACTAAAACAGAGTGCTGGGGATCTGATGTTTTACAGAGGCAATTTAAGATGAGCACTAGTTCATGAGGAATACTGTTAGGAAGGTGCAATATCAGCATGAAGATCCAGGACAGTGCAAAGCTAGTTTGTTGATACAAATCACAGAGCCTTAGGATATTTCCCAAGTCAAGTTAAAGGAAAAATCAAAAACAAAACCACAGTGAAAAAAAGCACACAAAGCACACATTTGGACAAACCTCACACCATTGACAGTATAAGAAAGTCCCATGATACAGCAGAATGCTTAAAAGAACTTTGAGTTTAAAAAAAATGTTTACACATGCAAAGTATACAAAGTAAAAGGCTAAGGGAACATATTAGAATATGATGTTTGTTCAAAGCAAAAAAAAAAAAATTATCACTTTAAAAATAAAAGGCAGGGACACATTTCTTCCACATACAAAATCTTACACCTTTTGACTTATCTAAATTTTTATCCCCATCACCACCTCTTTATTTTGATGACTGGGAATAACAAAGGATCTAATAAGCATGTAATTAGTCATCACTCAGCATGACAGACTAAGTAAAGGAAACCATTAACCGTTTAGTAAGATAATATTACATCAAGGGAAAAGAAAGACCAGAGAGAGAGGGAGGGAAGAAAAAAGAGTGAAAGAAAAAGAGAGAAGGAAACAGGGAGAAAAGGAAGGGAGGGAGGGAAAGAAAAGAGAGAAAGAAGGGGGCCAAGAGAGAGAGAGAGAAGAAAAGAGAGGGAAGGAGGGAGAGAAAGAGGAGGCAGGGAGGGAAGGAGAAGCAGAGGCGAGTGGAAGGTAGAGATCATTCTACTCGCCACCTCCAAGCTGTACTAATTTCGTTACTTTGTTCACGTTACTTTCCCAACTACAATGATTCTACATTCTATCAAAATCCTGTTTATGCTTTAAAGAAATAACCCAAATTCTTCCTATTCAATCTAATGTTATTTTCCTTTGTCTGAACCCTCATATCCTCACTCACTGTACTTCGCAGATTTGTTTTATTCTATATTGCATTTGTCTATTGTACTATTTGTCCCTGAACCTTTTGGAGAATAGAGTCTTGTACACCACAGGTGTTCAGCTACTGCGTTGATGGATCAGTGAACATGTCAGTAGCTAGTTAATTAAAAGAAATGAGCTTGATGGGATGCAATTATAAAGGAGCACTTTGTTCTAAACAAGTGCTCTCAAACATCATTCTTCTCTCTTCTGCCTTGGATGAAATATGATGCAGAGCAGTTTCCACTCTTAGGTACTAACAAATAGTTTCAACGTTTAAGTGTAAAAAGCACAGACTTACTATTTCCAACTGCAAAATTTAGGTACAACTCTCCACATAGCAACGGGAACAAATCTTAAAAACAATGCTCAACAAAAAATAAGAAACAAGGCAAGTTAATACAGAGCTATTCACATTAATGGAAAATACACACACACACACACACACACACACACACACACACACACCAGAAAGTTTTCTAGAACACCCACAAACAAAATATACATGTGGAGCCCATTAAAATGTATTACCATGGGGAGAAATGGGAGTGGGGAATGCAGACAAAAAATGTAAAATATATAAAACAAAAGACAGATTCTGCACAGTGTCATGAGCTGAGGAGTATGGCTGACTCATTTCCCCCTTCTGCCTCCTACTCACTTCTGTGGAAATGCCTGCACTCATCCAATATTGGCACTTCTTTGGCCTCATCTAGTAGAGGCACTTCTCTGACCTTCCATGTTCTTCCTTCAACTTCAACGAAGACAGAAATCTCCAGGTTGTGTAGGGTGGAGATAGCCCCCGTCTGTAATACTTCCTTCACATTTATCTTCTCTGCTGCTCACAATGACACCTCTGGATGCTCCAGGGTTGGAGCAAAGGAGAGAAGTTAGGGGCAGGAAAAGTTTGACTTGGCTGGGGCACCTCCTGCCTGGCAATGGTATCCGTGTGTGGTCAATGTCCAGATGCTGACCCCTTCTCTCTGAGATGCTCTCTGGGAAACCTCTGTCACTGGGTATTGCCCAGGTCCCAAGGTGTGGGCAATCCCTCCTCCACCTAGCCAGCTTTCCATCTTCCACTCTGTGCTGAGTCCACCCTACACCTGGGAGGGTGTCCTTTTCAGCATCATTTCCATATGACTCAAGATCTTTTTCAGAAGTTCAAATGTGACACATGAGAAATAATAATGATACTTACACTTCACCCTAAAATTAGGTAAATCACACCATTCCTGGCTGGCGAGGTCATATTCTTACTTAACTCTGTCACCAAATACCATTCCAGCCAATCTTTTGCTTATTGGCACATGCCTTAGTTATTTGTCTCATTGCTGAGACAAAATACCTGACACCCACAAGTTAAAAGAGGAGAAGTTTATCTCATCTTACAGTTTGAAGAGGTTTCAGTGCATAATTGGCTAGCTCCAAGGCAGAGTGGCATGGCAGAGAGGCATCACAGAGGAGAAAAGTGCATGTAAAAGCAAGCAGAAGACAGTGAAGCAGTAGCAGTATTAAAGCCAGCCTCTTGTCCCTTTTATCCCATGCAGGCCACCCTTTTGTGTGATGCCAACTACACCCACGATGGACCTTCCCTTATCCATCCCCTTAATCCTAGCATCACACCCTAATCCGGCCTCCCTTGAAACTACCCATCTGTGAGCACATAAGACTTTGGGGGAACATCTAGGTGCAAATCTACTCTCCATGTTCACCAAACCCACAGCAAATCTCTCAGATCTCTTGAGTTGGGAAAACATTGGAGGAAAATTCCCCCACACTCTAAATCTCTCCTGAAGAAAATCTCTCTTCAATATCTTTCCATGGACCTTGAAGTCCCTCATGGATACCCAACAAAAATGAACAGCTTAGAATCACATCATCTGTTTGCAACCCCTGTACATATAGTCTGGAATTTCTTTTTATAAATGCATGAAAAATTATCCTCCTTCTCTTCCTCACACCCAAGGTCTTCAGGAACTGGGAAAAAAATGAAAACTCTCATTTTAATACCCTAAGCATATGCACCGCCACCAAGCAGAAAACAAACATTTTTCCTAACAGATTATTTTTATAAAAGACATTACTGACCAATTTAAAACTAAAAGCAACTACATATTTTAAAATGAATTCTGAGCTAAAGGTTATACTCTTTGAATAAGTCTAAAAAGGGTTGAAAAAGTCATATTTGTTATATCCAGAAAGTAGTTACAATAAATTCAAGTCACCATGAGACCAATAGATACATTTTAAATCAACATCACCTTTTTTGTTGTTCTGTTTTATGCATCAAGGTCTCACTGTATAGCCCAGTCTGGCCTTGAACTCATGATCCTATTGCCTCATTCTTCTGAGTGCTGACCAACAGATGTAGGCAACTTGATTGCCTTGGGGGCCACCCAGAGGATTGGTAGAACGCACTTCTGGGTGTATCTGGGTTGGTGATAGAGGCACAACCTTGGGTATTACAGCTGGTCCCTTGCCCTTTTCTCTCTGGAATTGTTCCCCTCCTCTGCTTCCCAGCTGCCATGAACTAAGCACTCTCACTCCATCGTGCCCTTCTGCCATTTTATTTCTGTCTTAGAGCCAGTTAATAAGGGACTGAATCCCCTTAAAACATGAGCCAAATTAATTCTTTCCTTATCTAGTTGCAAATGTTAGGCATTGCATCCAGCAACAGAAAAGCCTAGTAATACACAGATTTGTTCTCAAGTGACACTCATAGCAACCTGTGGTACAATTCAGTTGTTATCCCTATCTCATAGGAAAGGAAACTAAGTCCAAGAAGTGAAGGTGCGATATTACTTAGATTGAAATCCTGTGCTTTCTGTTTCAAAATCACACTCTCAACCATTGTTTGGCACATACAGAAAGGACCACATGCCCTCAGCGGAGAGCACAACAGAGTTAGAGATAATAGCACAGTCTCCAGGGATGATTGTTAAATTACCTCAGTTTGCTCAGCAATAAATGCAGACTATTAGTACTGCTGTATGGGGCACAGAAAAAGGAAATTAGACGGTTTTTACTCCTAATTTGACTGATAAAGAGACAGCTAAGCCATGGCAGCCCATAGCTATGGATAAAAGTAGGAGGCCACTTAAAAAGTGTGGTTTACGTTGACAGCCCAATTGCAGTAGTCTCACCTAAACAATGGGCATAAAAATAATAGTACCTACCTCCTAAGGTCGTTGTGAATTTTCAACATGTATATAACAGATTTTAAATAATTCTTAACAGATAGTGCTCACTAGCTACACTAATGTTGTTGGCATTAAAGGTAGAAATTTGGTGACCAGGAACCACTGTGGCCATAAATAGATGCAATCTCCAAGCAGAGATAGGGGAGAAGCCCATAGTGACCTGTGGTTTCTTTCAGTAGAAGTTTACTCTGGCACATTAGTTAGGTATAATCTTGACCCAAAGAAAACAGAAGTCAGAGGGGATGTAAAAAATGTGTCATCTTTCAATTTTAACCATTTCTATCATCAAGAGTAACATTAAAAGTGTACTTGTTTGGTCTTATTTAATCCTCACAGTTCCCTGGTGATGTCTCCTTTACTGATAGATTTGGATGTAACTTATTCCCCAAAGGTTCCTGTACTGGAAGGCTGTTCTCCAGTGCAGTAGTTTTGAAACAATGGATCCTGTAAGAGGGAGGACTAATGGAAGGTGATTAGGTCACTGGGCACCATCCTTGGAAGAGATTAAAGTAGTTCTCCTGGTATCCTAGTTAGTTTGCATGACAGCAAGTTGTTTAAAAAAGTAGCAATCCTGGTCCCTGAATCCCTAGTTTGCTGTCGAATCATGTTAACTCTCCCTCTCCAGTTTGCTCTCACTATGATGCCATATATAATGTTGTGATAGCCAAGAGGCCCTCGCCAAAAGATAAAATGATAGGTCCTCCAACCTTGAATTGTTAGCCTCCGAACTGTAAGTTAAATAAACCTGTTTAGTTATGCATTGAAATGGAATAATCACACACATTTTAGCCTCCACTCCCATCTCTACGAAGGAAAATGAAGAGAAATGAGGAATCATGCTTGTGCTATTTGCCACCAGAAACACTTCTAAACTCTGTCCTTCCTGCTTCCGGAAGGTCTAGCTCTTAGGACCAGATGTCCAGGGGGAGTGTCAGCAAGACCAGAGGAAACAGGGTACTGAGATACACTGTAATTATACCACAACCTGCAGTAGGGTCTATGGAAATAAATCATAAGCCACGAATACTTTTATTTGCCTTATTTAAAAATTAAATTTGACAACTTAGGCCACAAGTTTCAATGGTACTTCATAAGAAACTAAATAAAGCATGTGGGTGCAAGTCTTTTGATAACATGAACCTCCAAGAAAAGGTACAGATTGAGAGAATACTTATCTAACAGATTTTATAAAGTTTGGATTAAGTTTACACTTCTTATGGAACATTTCAGGAATTTGCATATCATATTCATCTTCTCTGTGTCATTCCAACTCAGTGTTGTGCTGCTGAGGTATACTCAATCTGTATCTTTAGTTCTATCTTAGAGAGCAATTGAATTTACAAAACTCACTACTAAGAAGGGTGACCAAATTCCTGGAACAAGTAGAGGTTTGTTTTCATAATTATTTTCCACAGGAGGCTGTAACCTTATGATATGCATTTGTATTATAGAAATTGACATGTGTTGACAAGTTGTGAGGAATCATTTTGATCCCCACATTATTGGAAAATATGCCACAGGAAGTTGGACTTGCTCACTAACGCTGTGATAATTCATCTGTCAACCATGTAGCTTTTTCTAATTAATGCACGATAACAAAACCGTGGTCTCTTCTTATCTAAATAAAACATCTAAAACCGTTTCCTCTTTGCAGAATAGCACAAATAAATGATTATAGATGTTCTATAATGGATGTATTGGGACATAATCCCATCATATGTGGAGGAACATCTGAACACCAGTAAGCAAACCTAAGGGGATATTATTGGCAGTAGAAGGGAAGCAGAATGTGGCGTGCGAGACTCATATTCCCCATTATCTGGATATCTGGTTGAAAATCAAGAAAGCTTGGAGAAGAGCTAGCACATTCTTACTTGACAACAGAGGAAAGAACACCAAGTGGACTTGCTCCAATCAACCTATTTTTAGGTCTGGAAAAGACTGGACTTGTCTCCATACTCTTTCTTAGGACTAAAATCCTAATTGTTTAGCCCTGAGAACCAGAAGCTTGCCTGGTGTCGGGACTTGTTTTCAACTGTTAGATGATTTAGTGAAGTGGCATTAAGTAGGTCTCAACAAATAAATGTTGTCTACCAGACTGACTACCTAGGCCTCCCTTTACTCTGCGGTAAAGATTAAGAGGCTGAGATAATTTCCAAAGTAATTCCCAAGTTTAAATGTTGAGAATTTGAGGGCAACTCAGAAACATTGGAGTAAAAAGGGAAGGTCATCCAATCCCGGAGAACCTTTAGAATTTCCTTCTTTCCTTAATTTGTTTCACTTTCTGTCTCCTGTCCCCTCCCCCCATCTCCCCTGATTCAGTTCTAAAGAGAAGTCTACTTAGAAATGTCTCCTTAGCACCAAGAAGGAATGACCTGTAAATCTATTAATGAATCATCTAAGATTGGAGGATACACTTTTAAAATTGAAATTAGTTTTGAACCTACATATGTATGCATCACTTGATGCATTTTAAAACAATTTTTTTAAAGTCAAATATTCTCGACACAGAAACTCAAAGGTGCCAGTGAAAATAATCCTAGCTTACTTCCCCCAGAGAGGAACAAGCAAGGCCCAGCAGTGTCTGCTCCACACCAGGGTGAATTCCCTCACAAAGAAGATGTGGAGCAAGCAGAACTGAAAACCAACCCAGGGGGATGTGTGTCTTTGAACCAAATCATCTCCAAATGCACCAGGAAGTGCTTGCAAGTTCTGTTTGTGCTGCCCCAGGAGAGAGACTTTTCACAAAGGGACTGTTTTTCAAAGAACAGCAAGGGCTGCTATTTTAAACTTGGGGGTGGGAGATTGTATCTGGAATGTTTACACAAGCCAGTGCTGGATGATTGACGTCTAACCCCCGTGTTGGCCAGCCTAGCTTCCAAGTAAAGCAGAGGGAAGGAGGGACTTGCATCTGATAGCTCTGGAAGCAGCAGCGGAGTTCTCCAGCAGTGTTGGAACTTTGCAACGTGGGCAGAAAATCCTGCCTAGAAATCCCCTAAACACGAATAAGCTGGTGATGTTTATCACCCAAGTGGCCTTGGGAATTAAAGGGATGTCAGAAAGCTGTAGAAGGCACTACCCTGGCCTTCCCAGACTTGAGCCCAGTCAGCAAACACAGAATTTAATGGATGCTAACCATATGCAGGGTGCGGGGTGGGGGGGGGTGTCCTACTCCTGACGCTAGGCAGGGCTGGTTACTGTGGAAGTCTGGGTCCACAAGCGCTCCACGCTTCAGCATCCTCATCTGCAAAGAGGGACAGTAGAAGAGGTGCCTGCACCCCAGAAAAGAGTTGTCAGTGGTCCCTGTACTGCTGTTTCCCCAGAGGCACAGTGCGCTCCTCACCAAAAATAAATGTCCTCCTGCCCCTCCAAATCCAACAAAAAACAGGCAACAGCACCGTCTTTCTCCTGGTGTTAGGGTTAAAACATAATTATAGTAATAATAACTGCCCACTAAAACTCCAATTTTTTCTAGAAGATGGATTTCAAGAAACTGATCAGCAAGGCAGGATAGGGGAAAGTGAGCCCCTCAGGAGGCAGATTTCCCCCAAAAGACTGGTTTTAAAAACACAACCTCAAATCTTTCCAGGAAACCAAAACACAGCCAAATGTGCTCAGCAGGGGTGCGGAATCACATTTCCCCTTCCATACCAGGAATTTAAAACTAACTAGAAACACTGTAAAGACTGCCTGTGGCCAGCTGGAACTTTTTATTTTTTTAAATAAAAAATAATTTTCCATGTTCAGAATAGGAAAAGTAGAGGGTTGAAACACTGCAGCATTCAGAGAGAAGACAAAAGAGCCAGGGAGAAAAGGTTGCCAGCTGTCTGTTCGGTCTTTCACAGAATGTCCTGTGAGAGAAAGAGTTGGGTGCTCACTTTCCAGGGGGACTGGGCGAGATGGGAAAACCTCAGCCCCCAGCCCACGTCTGCGCACAGACAACCGGCTTTCCAGGGATCTGTTCTGCCGAGTGGGAGAGGAGGAAGGGGAGAGACTAAATTCCCACATGTCCTAGCACCACGGATTTTAAAGGAAAAAAAAATTTTTTTTTAAAGAAATTTTAAAAAGACACTAACCTTGCCTCTGGTCGGGGAAGCGGACCGGGCCTGGCTGAGGCTGTCTGCCATCGCAAAGTGCCCCGAAGTTGAGGAGCTGAGCCACCACAGAGAGGTTTGCAAGCCAGCTCCTCTGCGCACATGGCATGATTCAGTTGTTGAGGAGAAGAAAAGTCACAAAGTTTCAGACCTCAGCTCCAGAAGTCAAGTCCCTGCCTGTGGTGCAGGTCAATATAAGGGTGCATGGTCCCGGAGCAGGAGGGAAAGCTGCAGAACTCAATCTCCCTTCTGCTTTTTTTTCCCCCAGTAGAAAGGGGCTAGCTACCTTTCCCCCCTCCCTCCTCCTGAAAGGGGAGTGAACCAGCTGACAGGGTCTGATTTTGGCGGGTGTAGAATGGGTCAGCGCGGAAGGGCGCAGCCCACCCGGGTCCCCACCCCTCTGCCTTCGCGCCCGCCCAATGGGCCTCCGGCCAGCTCTGCGCATCTTCCTTGGGACTCCCACCACTGCGCTGCTCCGGCTCCGCCCCTGCCCCGGCCATCCAGCCAAATAGGGGAGCCCAGGACAGCCACCAGAGGGGCACCAAGGAAACTGACAGCTCAGGCCACCGAGCCAGCCCCTCATTGGAAATATAGGCTCAAATGTGGAGTACAGGGATCAGCTCAAGTGTACTCGGCCCCTTTCTCTCCCAGCCCTTCTCCTTGGGTCCTGGCCATCTGCTAATAAGAGACTGACTCCTCACCCCCTCAGACCTCCCTGAGATCCTTTTCCAGGGTAGGCTAAAATTTCCACTTGCAAATTAAAAGGCAGTGTTTCAAACAACTTGAGAGACCCTAGGTCTGCCGGTCAGGGCAAGCTTTTCTGTTTTGATAACCTCCTCTTTCCTAGCCCACCTCCTTTCACCTTAAAAGAAACCAGGAGAGTGGAGAAAGTAGTCCAGCCCGCGGAGGGGCTAAGGTATCTATCCAGTGCACCTGCACAGGCTGCAGGGTGGCAGGCGAAGGCATCCATTTACGTGCTCAAAGCTTTTTCACCAGTGAGAGAATACCACAAACCAGGGTGCTTGCCAGGCATCCCGAGAATTTACTGGAATAATCTAGCCAAGATTTTTCACCTCTGGGCTGAGACAGGCCTCCTTATTCCATTCGAGAAGAATTTGGCGCAGATATGGAGTTCTCCCAGGCCAACAATCAATCATATGCATTTAGCAAGAGGTCTGGGATACCAGTTCCCCCAAACTTACATAGGCGCAGATCAGCCAAGTCAACCGAGAGAGTTTAATCTCTTCAACTCTAGCGGCAGTTCCCTTATGCTCTTCCTTACCTGCTCTTATGAGCATATTATGGTGTGAATAGATAACATCCCCCTAAGATCTGTGTATTAGAGGCCTGATTAAAAGGCACTGTGGCTCCTCTTGAGAAGGTTTGTGTGAGGACTTCGGGTCCTTGAGTGTTGCTCTAAGTATTGCCATTGTGAGACCCAATTTCTCAATCTCTGTGTCCTGGCTTATGATGTAATCTATTTCCTCTGACACATGCTCCCTACTGCTGCTGTGTGGCATTCTTACCAGAACTTCAAAGCTATAGGGCCACCCAGAACCTCCAGAACCATGAGCTAAGAAACACTTTCTCATTGTAACTTAATTGCTTCTGATATTTCGTTAAGTAACACAGAGATTACTAATATAGATCATAACCAAGAACACTGAGAATCATCCAAGCTTGAAATATTAACATTATAAAGTTTCACCAAAGAGGTGGATTCTGTCAGCCCCTTGAAACCTTCATAGCCAGAACATTGGTTCTTATGCAGAGTAAGGACTTCCTTTTCTTGATTGCTCCATCTTTGGTTTCCTAATAATCCATAAATTCTCTCTGGGCTGAGCTACTCTTCTGCCCCATGATATACCATGATCTAGCTCCATAAAGCAGTTCCTTCAAGATTGGACATCTTCCTCCTTAAAGGTTTTTTTGTTTTGTTTTGTTTTTTCCTCAACTGCTGATTTCTTTGCTGTTTGTCTCCAAGTACTGTTTTTTGTTTTTTTGTTTTTGGTACCAGGGATCACACTCCAGATCTTGCTGTTGTGAGGCATGTGGTGGAACCACTGAGCTAAATCCCCAGCCCCTCCAAGTACTGTTGAAAAGACTTACATAATTGCACCTAATAGGGCAAATACCAGTTCATGTCTCCAACTTCAGCAAGTTTTCACCATGGCTCATTGCAAAGAACCTTTTGCTACTGTGCTAATATAGAGTTCCTCTTCCTCTTTCCAGAATTTAAAAAATTCTTGCAAAGGTCAGGGTTTCCTCAAGGTAGAAAGAATACTTAATCTTCCTCAATTTTTCCTCTGTTCAGTGGGAAAAGGTAACATCATCATCGTGCCTTTGATAGTGGCTTAATTCAGTATGGCTAAGGATTTTCCATATAAAATACAAATTGTGACCAAGAAAAGATCTAAGATACCTCACAAAGAGTTCCTTCTAGTCATACTTTCCTACTAGGCCTTTAGAAGTATAAGGGTTGGCTGAAGTTCAAGGACAATTAACTCAATGGATTTCCAGAGATTCATTAACACAGGTAAGACAAAAGAAATGGCCATCCACTCAAAAACAAATAACAAAACATACTGTGACTTAGTCCCAGGCTTTATGAGTGAATATGCCATAAAAAGAGACTTCGAATTTGTCACTCATGCTTAAATACCATAACTGCCTTCCATAATAGAAATCATTATATCACAGGTAAGCATTTTTGTGGTGCTTTTACTGAACCACATCAGAGAGCAGAGGGGAGAAAAGTGTTCCTATATGATTTTCAAGAGTAGTTAGGCTTTAACTCCACTTGGAAGTAAACAGACATTGTCTTCCAAAGTCATTCATTTAAATGTTGTTTCACGTGTACTATATTCTTTCAAACCTCTCTGCAGCCTTGAAATAAGATGGAGATAGGTATTTGTGACAGGGTATCAATTCACTTTTCTTCCTCCAGCCAATTGCATTAATGAGAAATTGGATCAATAATCAGCACAACCCCCTCTGTTGACCCCTCAACCCCAGAAAGACTTCTTTCCTGACTTGGCTTCAGGACTGTGAAATCTGTTTTTTACAAATTTTATAAAGTTACCTGGCTCTGTATTTAAAAAAACGCCACATTGAACCATTCTTCTGACACTGTAATTAATCAATTTAAATGAGGAAACAATGTTATGGCAGTGTCCTTTTGAAAGCTATGATCAAAAATGTCATAGAGCCCTGAATAATAAAACATACTATAGCCTGGAGGAAAACAGCACACCTCAAACAAAATGTGAGACCAACATAAGTTTGCAGAGCATCTTAAATTGAATCAAAATTAAATGTCCCAAATACAAAGTCTGCCAGAGGAAACCTAACCAGAGTGACAGGCAGACAGAAGCAGGCTGTTGCAAGATGTCAGAGCCCAGTAAAAAAGGCAGTTATCATGGGACCAGAGCCTGAGCAGAATGAGGACAGCATCTAGCTGACAGTAGATGTATAGAGCAGGGTGAGGTGGGAAGGGTGATAGTGTGATTGGTTCCCTGAAGGAAAATTCATCAGATAAGTACATAAAGTTAGGATAATAAGAGTCATGTTTCTCCCTACCAGTCAAAGGAAGTACAAATATAAAAACAGATAGAATGAGCCTTGTAATATCGGATTGGAACTGAAGACCTTGTTATCCACCTGTAGCTGTTGATGCATATATTGATCACATATAAATAAAAATAGAAATGTACATAGATATTATTTATATAGAGAGATAGATAGGTAATAGATAGATAGATAGATAGATAGATAGATAGATAGATAGAGATAGATAGATAGATAGATAGATAGATAAATTCCTAGGGCTGTTCACCTAATGGTGTTGGAGCGATGACATCCTGAAAGTAATGAGCATACTTGTATCCAGATCTTGAAATCCAAATACCATTTTGTGCTAACAGGACCTAGGAATCCTTAGATAAATGACTGATTCTAGAGTTTGGAAGATAGAAAATGTTCCAAAACATTTTGCACTCAAAACAAATAAGCAAACAAGGAACTACTGAAAGAAAAGTAAGAGACTGGAACATGACAAAAGGTCAGAGGAGTAGCATAAAAAGCCATTGATCACATATAGGAATGTTTTAGCAGATAACATACAATAGTAGTAATAAATTGTTACTCATATATAAAAATAAGAATTCATAAAACCATATTGAGGCCAGGGATTTAGTTCATTGATGCCACCACTCACAAGTACAAGGTCCTGAGTTTGATCGCCAGTACTTAAAAAATAAAAACATATTGTGACAGTTTATAAATGAGTAAGAAGGTTGATAAAGAGTGGGAACTTTAAATAATTTTAAAATACATTCTCCAAAATATTTATTAATTATAAATACTAAAAGGATACTATAGAGTGAACAAGCCTAGCAGACATGTCTTTAATCAAAGTTAACAATATAAGCAAAATCAGTAATATATGAAATCAATACCATGTGCAGTACTGCTTGATTGGACTCAAAAAAAGAGTAGCATAACTTCTACAATAGATTTGCCAAAGATACATAATCTGAATCATCAGAAAACATCAGACTCACCAAAATTGAAGGATGTTATACAAAATAATTGTGTTTTTCTAATTTTCAAAAGGCTAAATAAATTCAAAGGAAAACTGAAGTTTTTCCAGATTGAAGAAGACACAGAGATACGACAACTAACTGTAACACATGATTCTGGATAAGATGTTTTGTTATAAAGGACATTATTAAAACAATCTATGAAAGTTGAAAGGGGAAGTATTGGATGGTGATTTTGTATCACTATTAATTTCCTATTTATTATGGTTTAGATAATGGAAAATATCCTTGTTTTTTGGGGATACATGAAAACAGTTGGAAGTAATTGAGCATCTAGTTGACAACTTACTTCCAAATGATTCAGATTACAAAGAATTCCATTTTAAATATATCTCTTCCAGTTTTTCTTTACATTTAGTACCAGAAGTATAAATCTGTTCTCATTCTTTATAATAACATCACACTTCATAGAGATGCTATAAAGTTGTCAATTAGAGAAGCCTAATAATAAGACATACACATTTCAGAAACTAGTAGCCAAATAAGTGCCAATGTACGATGATCCGAGGACAACTGAACAAAAGCACCCCAGGATGACATCAGTGAAATTTAGCATCATCAGACTTGGTCTTGTGTTGGTCCTGAAACACCCCAGAACAATCCTCTTTCTTTTATTCTGCCTTAAAGGCTGAATATGAATTAAATAAGAATATATCCACTCTTCCTAAGGAAAAGAAGAAATTAGGGACAGAATATATCAGGGAATCTCTGGTGCTAATCTCTA